GAGAGAGAGAGAGACGAGCGAGAGAGAGAGACGAGAGAGACGAGAGCGCATTCACATGCTTTGGTTGCCAGTTGGCAAACTCCCATCTGCTTTCATGAAGAAAAGGATGACACTCATTTGTAGTGAAAAAGGACGACAATCCACTGCACTCACTGTTTGACCTAAAAAGAACGACAATCCACTGCACTGTTCGACCTAAAAAAAGACAACAATCCACTGCAAATTTGGTGAAAAGAGTATGTAGCCCTTCTCTAAGAAGGGATCTTATGTTTGAAGGGCAAGGCAGGAGCCAGCAGCGTAATGATCAGCGGCACTTCCGTGCCGACGCTTCCGCAAACTAGCACATAAGGTTACTTGATATGCCCTTCAACTACTCTTCTCCTACTTGCAACAGCCTCTCGGACAATTATACTCTGGCGAGCTCGTATCCGCAATGGTGTCAACACGAACATGTACACGACTAAAGACGGCGAAACGTTTTACACCGAATTCTCTCTCAAGGACATGCAAGGCCACAAGTCCCCTCCCCATCCAGGAGCCTGCAACCTGCATCGATGGCATCGGAGGCAAACCCCTGACACCTGATCTCATCATTTCCTTGAAACTTGTTACACCACACCTGCCATCCATGTATTTCTTCATTCCGGAAGGCCCAGTTCTCTGAGTATAGCAATCTAGCAAAGGTCATATGGGAAATGACATTAAGAGAATTCAGATCAGCAGATGAGGAGAAGGAGACATCCACGACGTCAAACATCCGGCAATGAGCACAGCAACGAAGCAGAGGATGGACACGGACAAAGGAGGGGCGTACCTACATCATCAATCTTCAAAGGGGAAAGGTGGGTGGTGCCGGTCGACCATGCCAGAAAATTGGAGTTCCAGTCTCATTCTTCACGCCTGTGCTCCTTCGAGTGCTTCATTACGCTTCCTAGCTGCACACTTCCAGTTTCAGCTAACTCCTTTCGCTGATCGCTCACAGTCCCCCTTCATTTGTCAAATAGGTCAAACAGTTTCGCATTCAAAACCAATGTACAAAAGGCGGGACTTGAGGGATCCCGGTATTAAGGAAGCAAGGAACCGGGCATGGAAAACGACAAATGAGAAAATGGCCATTACATCCTATATACTCTAAAACCTTCCTATCACAAAAAAGGAGGAAACACGCACCGAAAAAAAAAAAAAAAAAAAAAAAAAAAGAAGAAGAAGAAGAAGAAGATTTTTATCCTACAACCCAGCAAAATACATATGAGACTTCCAAAAACAT